CCCCAAAACCCCAAAACCCCAAAACCCCAGGTCTAAAGCACAAAACTGAAATGGTATATTCCAGTCATACCAGTACAAATAAGAAGCATTACTTATCACCAAGCTTGACTGTCTGCTCGAAGACGTCTCTGACATCAGTAGATGCCTCTTGTTTTACCCTTGCTTCACAAAGAGCTTTCAGTCTGTCCGCATTAGTGATTTGATAGAAGTCAGCACATTCAAAGAGATAAGCTGACTCTTCAACATCAAGTTTGTCTGGAAGAGCCACATCGTCACAGTACAGATACTTGATGAACACCCTGAATGTCTTGGGTTTTATACCTGTGGGCAGGGCTATTTCAAGCTCTCTGTTGATATTCTCGCTCATGGAACTCAAGAACATGCCTCTAAAGTAATCGCTCCTGCCCGCTAGGACAAACATGTCCGACAGGAAAGTATTCGAGCCTCATTTTATGGTGTAATTATGGTATCTATCCTCATAAATTTCCTTAAGCTCATTAGAAAAATTCTTTGCTACCCGTTCAACGCTGAGTAAATTCGTGTTCACAACAGAAGGGTCTGCCTTCGCCCTCTTAGTTGGACTTCCATCGTAAGGAGATTTCTTATTTGTCCTAGCAACTTTAAGAGCGCAGTATTCGTCAATCGCAAGGACAGAGTGGGGGTTCAAATCTTCATACTGCTTCATACTCTTGAACTTTCGCTTGTGAGTAGTCACAAATTTGAGAATGGCCTTTTTGAGAGTCCCAAATACTTGCCTAAAAGTATTAAACTCTTTATCAAGAGACTTCCTGTTGCCCAAATCAAATTCCTCCTCAATTTCAGTGACCTGATTGAGGTACTCGACGGTATTAGCAAAGTTTAGGTTTAACACGATGTACTGGGAGACTATCTTTGTTAGTCTTAGCAACCGAAGCTCAATCGCATATTGAAGCAAAGGAAAACAAATGGATAGGTCGAAGCTTTTAAAGTCAATCCAGTCAGTGTATATGTACTCAAACAAGCATCTGATCGCTCCTGTGTGTATCGGAGAGGACAATTCTTTATGGACTTCATACAGAACCACTTCTTCACCTTCTATCTTCTTACAATCCTCCAGTATTTTTGAAGCCCGTCTTCAGACCAAGGGGTAATAAGAATATACCGTCTCCTTTGACTCTCCCTCTTTGTCTGTGAATGTGATATGTCAATCAGAAAAGAAGTGATCTTCGGTGAGTTGATCAAGTAATCTTCCAAAGTCTTTACTGAAAGTTCTAGAAGGGTTCTCATCCTTGATCTTGATCCTATGAATCTCATTCAGCTTCACCTTATTTGTCACTACCTCCAATAATGTAAAAGTAGTTATCCTGCAGAACAGAGGCGTGGAAGTCTCTCTCAGAAGGCATGTAGTGCTCGTCCCCGACGTCTTCCTTAACCCAGGACGATTTCTGGAAGTTAAACCTAAGGAGGTCATTCCGTCTCTTTTTGTCCGCCCATCCACCGAAGATATAAATTGACTCATTAAAATAGATAGAAGAGTGCCCGAATCTTCCTTTGAAAAGTCCCTGATTCCTCTTAATCTTTAAATTCTCCCACTTGTTGCTCCTCAAGTCGTACTTGTGGATAGTCCCGAAGTTGATCTTCCCGTTGTTCCCTCCAATTACATAGAAGCAGTCTGGGTCGTCATTGTCAAGAGCCGGCATCTTGGCCGGATCTGTAGGATAATTACACACAACACAATGTTTATAGCGGCTTTCTGGAATTTTCCCAGTAGATTTTATTTCAGTCCAGACTTTCGTAATAAGATCAAGCTTGAACAAATGGTTGAAATAAACAAATCCTGATGTGCCACCGAATAGGTACAAGTAGTGCTTATACGGCACCAAAGAATGTCCATACAACGGGGGAGGTTTATCTCCAGTCGTCTCGATAGATTCAAACCTGTTCTTGACCGGAGAATAGCTTATAAGATCATCATAGACTGTTCCACTGATGTCTGCACCTCCATGAAAATATATTCTAGATTGAAGAATATCAGCACAGGCTGCGTGAGACGCTCTTCCTTTCGGCATAATTCCTTTCGGCTTGACTTTCATGATCTCCATTTGCTCGATATCAAAAGAGAGTAAGGAATCATACGCCTTTTTGTCACTGTCGAGACCTCCAAACAGATAAATATGGTTCCCTATTAGAGTTGCTGAGTGGCCTGATCTTGGCAGGAACTCTTCCCCCATGTTCATCACCTTTTCAGGGATGGTATCATCTTCTTCCCGATAGTCAGGGTCAAGGAAACCTGTGTTGAGGGTCTTGACCATAATCGAGGGTTCTTCATCGAATGCCTCCATTTCAAATATATGATTAAATCAGTTGTCAAATAATCTCAAGGGGTTTTGGGGTTTTGGGGTTTTGGGGTTTTGGGG